AATATATACTTTATTTATAATTTTTTTATTAAAATTTTTATGGCTTGATTTGAATTTAATTTAATTTAACTACAAAATATATTTAAATATTTAATTAATATTTTAATTAAGATATCTATTATTTAATTTAATTATTAATGCATTTAGTGGATTATTAGATTAATTTAGCGTTTGAGTGTTTTATTAATAATTTAATTAGAGAATTGGGATTTAATTATTTTAATTAATTAAATAAATGACTAAATTGTTTAATTAAATTATTACAAATTAATTAGATTAATTCAGGTTCTCTTAATGTGATCAATAGATGGATTTAATTATTATTAGGTCTAGGTAATTAGTTTAGTTATGAAAAAAAATGCAAGTTTAGGTTATTTTGAAGAGGATAAGACAATGAATGGGATGGTTCAAATTATTTTGAAAAAGAAGTTCTCTAATTAAAGATATAAACATTTAAAGAGGTTGGACGGTTAGGGAAGTTGTTACAAGGTGGTTAGGAGTTGGTTATGACAAAAAAATTAACTTTAAATCATTTGAAGAAGAAAAATAGAAGGAATTTAATGATCCAAGTGATTTTTTATTAATTCAAACTCTATGAAAAAATATATCTGTCAAAGTGGGTTCAAACACTTTAGAGAGATAAAATGGTAGATTTTGAGCAAAAATTTATAATTTATTATCTTAGTCAAAATTATATATTTTTGACTTTAGAACAACATTAATTAATGTCTCAGGTTCATTTGAAGTCATTTTGAGGTAGTTATGGTCAAATTATATTTTTATCAAATTTATCATTTTTATCTCTCCTAATTATTCTTTGGCTTAATGGACCTCCAATTGGAGTTCAAATTAAATGTAGAGTAACTCATTTGAAATATTTTGACAATATAAATGTAATGACAAAGTCCATTTTAAAAAATAATAAATCATTAAAATTTATTTATGTATGACCATTTTTCGTGCATGGAAACCATAAGCACAAAATTTCAAGAAAAAATGACATCCAACAACCATCAAACTGGTTTGCATGATCTTCATATGTAATTATGAAGATCATGTAACTTACATAATGCAATTTGGATCATTGGATTGACACGTGGAAGAAAACGATAATTTAGGGTTTATGATGATAATCTTCAAGCATGAAAATTTGAATTAAAAGGTTTTACATAAAAATTATTTCAATGATCATCAAAATTATTTGTATGGTATTTATAATTGATAATAAGTTTCATAAAACTTTTAGAAGACTTGAGACTTACAAGAAATCAACATAGTAAAAATCGTAATGAAGGCATAAATAATCAGAAATAATCGGGTCAAACCTGATATTCTGATCAACGACCATCCCACAATAGTGAGTGACCGAACTATGAAGAGAAGAGGACACCCTTAGGGTCTCAATGGCTGAGCTTGTGGGGGCTATTCTAAAGGAGTATTTTAATAAGACACCACCGATAAAGATCAAAGCTTCCCTCTATATGTCCAATAAATATAAGTTATAATTATGAAAATGTGTCAAAGATGATAATATTGATTTGTAATGCCCCTAATCAAATAATAACAAAATAATAAAATAATGACTAGTAAAGCCCCCAATAAAAGTATAAATACCAACAATTTCTTGAATAAAAGAACAGATTTGTAATGCCCCTAATCAAATAATAACAAAATAATAAAATAATGACTAGTAAAGCCCCCAAAAAAGCTGGCTAAAATATAAATACCAACAATTTCTTGAATAAAAGAACATATCTTTTTTCTCTACACTTTTCATATTGCACTTCATACTCTCGTTTTTCTCTACTTTTCTAAGCTGTAACCCGCAAGAAGTGTCAATAGGCATTTTATACCTATCGAAGTAGCTTTAAATGATCTTACTTGATTTCTTGTTGCAGTTTCTATCTCAAATTTTTTTTTTTCATCTACAGACAACTGCAGCTGAAAAAGCTGCGGCAAACAGATCCGTACTTCTCAGGATAGAAATTTTTCCACACAATTTTTTTCCCTCGCTGGCTACTCACCACTTTCCATCTCGCTTCACGACGAGAGCAGGAGAGAAACAGGTATGCCT